GCCCAGGCTGGTCTCAAACTCCCAGCCTGAAGCAATCCTCCTGCCTCAGCCTCCCAGAGTGCTGGGATTACGGGCGTGAGCCCCCGCGCCCCCCTCAGCTTTAGATTTAATGCCACTGCCAGTCACTCTGCAAAGTGCCTGCACTGAGCTCCGCTCCCCAGTGGGGCCTGGGAGCATCCATTTTCTCCATAACCCATGACTGCCTGTCTCTGTCACCACCGCAACTCCTGGAGGAAGCACTTCCTGTGGGTCTTTGTGTCCTGGAGCTCAGTCCAGGGCCTTGCGTGGATCCCAAGACATGAACATGCTCCCTTATCTGTCCACACCACTTTCTTAACAGCTGGGCTGTGACAGCCCACTAGGGACGACCTTCTGCCCACAGTGGGCTGCACCACAGGGGACCCCAGGAATTGGACATGGCAGGTTTTTGTGTTTTTTTTTTGAGACAGAGTCTTGCTCTGTCACCCAGGCTAGAGTGCAGTGGCATCAGCCTAGCTCACTGCAACCTCAAACTCCTGGGCTCAAGTGATGCTCCCACCTCAGCCTCCCGAGTTGCTGGGACTACAGGTGTACACCGCCATGTGTGGCTAACTTTTATTTTATTTTATTTTTTAGAGACAGGGTCTCACTATATTGCCCAGGCTGGTCTTGAACTCCTGGCCTCAAGGGATCCTAAAGAGCTGGGATTACAGGCGTGAGCCACCGCACCCAGCCCTTTGCACTTTTTCTTTTACCTTTTTCTTATGGACATTTGTAAACATACACACACGGAGAGAGTGGGAAACGGACCCCCCATGAACCCGCCAACCATCCTGGATGGGCAGCGATGACGCGGGTCCTGTCGCGTTTCCCCACCACTTTCTCCGCCTGCCGGAGCATTTAAAGCAAATCTCAGACAGGATATCAATTCATCTGTAAATATTTCGCTGCAACAAAGTAATGTTTTAAACCCCGAATGAGATGACATGATTCCTGCTTATTCCCGAGCCCCTACACTCGCAGCCCTGGGGCCTTCCCAGCCTCTGCCTGGACCCGTTCCCTGCCTTTTCCCGAATGCCTCCCTCTGGCCATGTGCATTTTTAGTTCAAATGTGTGGATTTTTTTCCTAGTCGCAGTGGGAGTCATCGGAGGGAACCGGGCAGGGGAGTGTTATGAGCTGAGTTATGTTTCTAAAATATCCTCCCGGCTGCTGCGGAGGATGAGCCCGGGGGGTGGGGGAGTAGGAAGACCGTGAACCGAGGTAATTAAATGAGAGCCTGGCTCGTAGTAAGTGTTCAAACAATATTAGCTATTTTCAGTCATTGTGCTGGATAAACCTTGGCCCTCTTGTTTCTAAGCAAAGTTGTAGATAGAAAAATGGTGGTTCAATGTGGCCATGGTTTTTCCAAACTGACCCAGCTGGTCAGTTCTGGGACAGAAGCCCTAGGCCTGTAGGTGGGTTTATTGCATTCTCCCTGAACTCAGGCTTCCTTCTGGAGGGGAGACAGTTATAGGCACAAATGACATAGTTCCACCTAGAACATTCCGTCCCACGGTGGAAGACAAGACCCCCTGGTCTGGGAGGAGGGCCAGAGTTCTCCAGTGTGGGGTAACCAGGAAGGCTTCCGGAGTCAGGTGAGCTTGGCTGAGGGGTTTCTGCAGGCAGAGTTGGGGTGGTGGGCACTGCAGGGAGGAGGGTGGGACAGAGGGTCTCGCTGGGACCAGCACCCGGGGCCAGCGAGGGGGTCCGCGAGGGAGCCTTGACCGCCAGGGGGAGCCCTTGGACTTCCTCGGCCTGGAGCTGCGGGACTGTCCCTAGAGGAAGCTGGCCTGCTCCGGTGCTGGTGCCCTGTCCGTGCTGGTGCCCTGTCCGCCGCAGGAGGCTTTGTAGAAGGGGCTCCCGTGGCCGCCTCGTGCTCCCAAGCCACGGCTGACATTTGCAGACAGACAGACCCAGTGCGAATCCTGCCCTGCACTTGCTTGGCAGGTGACCTTGGGCGAGCATCTTGGCCTTTCTATGCCGGTTTCCTCACCATGCAGGGAAGAGAGCTCCGTGGGGGCCGAGCCCTGAATTGGACTCTCGCTTCCACCTCGGCGTCCGGCACCTTTCTGTGCAGACTCTGGCCCATCAAGCAGGGACAGCCCCTCCCGAGTGCCAGAGTCGTGCTGGGCCCTGATGAGTGCTTGCCCTTGTTGCGGGGCCAAAGGGCCCGGAGGGGGGGGGTTTTGGGGCCCCTTGCCGGGCGGCTTTCCTTGGTGGGGGGAGGTTGCTTCTGTTGGGCCCACCCTTCCCTTTTTCCGGGGGTTTTTTTTGTTTCGGCGGCCGGTTTTCCCCGGCCAGGCCTTGGGTTCGGTTGGGCGGGGTGGGGGCTTCTTTTTTGGTTCCCCGTTTGTTTGGGGACGGTTGTTGGTTCATTGGGCCCTGATGAACTGAGTTGATGGAACGTACAGGCAGGCCGGGACGGCGCCTGGCCCCCAGCATAGTCTGGTGTCCTCCAAGGCAGGGAGGAGATAGCTTGGGGCCCCTGCGTTTGGGCAGGCCTGTGATGGAGGGGCCCTCAGCTCTCTTTGGCCAAGACACAACCAGAGGGGTCTGCCCTGGCCTGGAATGCCAGGTGGTTCCGGGCGGAGGAGCTCGGCCCTTACCCAGGGAAGGGCTTTGGGCAGGGCCTTGGTCAGATGTGTGTTTTGAGGGGTTCCTGGCTGCAGGGTGGAGGACGGATGGACCAAGGCTGGCCTGGGGGCAGAGTGACCTTGGCAGGCAGTTGGTGGCGGGACTCAAGGCAAGGCATCAGCCGGGCCCGGGCAAGCGGAGTGGCCGGAAAACAGGAATACTTAGGATGGGCGACTGGACTTGGGATAAAGCACAGGTTTCCAGCTCAGGGAAGCGGTCATGCCATTGGGTATAGGGAGGGCCCTTAAGGCCAAACACAGCCCTGGGGGCCGGTGCCGAGCTTGGCCTTGGGTGCTGAGTTGGAGGCGCCTGTGGCCCACCGGGAGCGCCATCCGAGAGGGCGGTGGGTGTTGGGAATGGAAGCCCCAAGGAGGGCGGGGCAGGGAGTACGACCATTTCTCTCAGGGGATAAAAGAATCTGGGGCCCCTGGCTGGGGCTGGCGGACAGGCTGACCCTGTGGACCCCTTGCCCCCATTCCTTGGATGTAGGGGTGCCCCGCAGAGGCCCCAGTCACAAGCTGAAGTCCGGCCCTGCGCGCTGCTCCTCATTCTGCCTCCCCAGAAAGGAACGAGGGGCCCACAGCCTGCGAGAACACCCTCCAAGCCGCGGCTCACATGGGTGAGACTCAACCAGCCGGTGTGGGACGCCTGCCCTTGATGGGCCAGGCCTGGCACAGGCCGCTGGGGTGATGCAGAGGAAAGGGCATCTTCTAAAGCCCCCAATTCCCTGCCCCTGGTGGGCAGAAATGCCTGTTCCGGGCAACAGGTGGCTTCTCAGAGCCGAGGACGATGCTGTGAGCAGGCCTGGAGCTCAGGCAGTGGGGGTGACACGCGGGGGCTGGAACCAACCACCTTCCAGCCACCGCCGGAGCCCACACCTGAGATCAAACATGCAACTGCGGCTCAGGCGTGTGACGAGCGCTAGGAACTGGGGAAAAGGACACAGATTTCGCTGGAGCGCAGCTGTCAGTCTAGATGGCAGGACTCAGAGACAGGACGGGGCCAGCGGGGGCCGACTGGACTAAAACGAGAAAGGACAGGCTGGGGGGACCGGGCTGGAAGGCAGGAGGTGAGGACCGTGTGAGTTCTGACCCGCTCCCCCGCGCCGTATCTCTCTGCAGCCTTGGCTTTTATTTCAAATAGTTTGGGAATTTACTACTTTTGTCTCTTATTACGGGCCATTTGAAGTCCTTTTTGGAGACAGAATTTGAGAAGCGGGACACGGGCTAGCCCTGCGAGATCCCTGAGGGCAAACTGGAGACTCCGAGGGCCTCCGGAGCAGGTGAGAAGCAACAGTCAACCCCCTGCCTGTTGGGCCAGGCACCTCGTGGTCACGTTGTGACAGATGTGCTCTTTCCCCATTTCTCAGATGAAGCTGAGTTCCAAAACATTCCATTCAACTTGCTCCAGGTCACAGTTAGCACATGCAGACCTGGCCTGGGAACACAGCTTCCCAAGATGCCCCGGCCACGCAGGGCCACTGCTCCCGCTGCCTTGGGCAGGTGGGCAGGGAAAGGCTGGCAGGCTGAGCTCAGCCCAGGCAGGGGGCAAAAGAAAATAGTTAAGCAAGAGCCAGGGCTCTAGAACCAGGGTCTAATCCTGACTCTGGCCTCACGGGTGACTGACTTCTCTCTGCCTCAGTGGTCCCATCTTTAAAATGGGGATTGTAGTGCTAATCTGGGCTTCAGGCGACAGCCACATGAAGTACATGCATTCAGCACTGGGGCAGTGGCTGGTGCACAACAAGCACATAGCAAGTTCTGGCTCTGACTGCCACGGGCGCGGGGCCTGGAGTCTGGGGAACTGTCCTGGTGAACAGTCCTGCATGGAATCCCAGACCCGTCCCCAGGGCCCAAGATGACCGGGGGCAAGGTCCTTGGCCTCTCCACTTGCAGTAATGGTCCTGCCACCTGGGGAGCGGTGTGGGGGTCACGCACTGAGATTCTGGCTCCGCATGTGGGTAATGGGTTGGATTCGGCTCTTTCACCCCCAAACCAGGTTCCAGGACGCTCCCCATCGAACGCGTCAGAAAAGGAGGACTGAAGACCTTGGCTGGGGCCTCCTGCCGTGCGCCCAGGGCAGGTTTGGGTATCAGAGAGAAGCCCAAGAAAGTGGCAAGGACACAGCAGACCTCCAGGGCTCTGTAAAACAAACCCCATCATACGCATCTCAGAAAGGCTCCTCCCTGAGCGACTGTGGCCAGGACGCTCTGACACAAACACGGAGAGATAGTCATTGCTTTAATTCCGGTCAGGACGCCACGTGCTGGGGGCACTGGGCTTGCCCGCCCCACCCCGGGGCAGACTCACGGGCTGCTCCTGTACACACGATTGTTTACAAAAATAAATATGCAAAAAGCAGCAACTCTTTAGTGATCATGGAATTAATCTGACAGCAATTAAATGTGTTTAAGCGTCTGGCATATCTCCTAAATTGCACCAGAAGAATTTTGGAAGCACTTGGTTTGGTCTCAGAGGCAAAATGAAAGGACGAGGAAGGGCCCGGCCTTCCAGCCAGCCCGCCACGCTCACATTTCCGAGTCCGCGTACATGCCGTTGATCAAATAGTCCACCTGGGTGTAGTCCTTCTTCTTGTAGCTCTCATAGGCTTGCAGGGCAAACAAAACCAAGACTGTGATGAAGAGGGTCACCCCGAGTAAGAGCACCACCAGGAGAGAAGTTTTGTCCTCCAAGGACGGGGTCAGGGGCTCAGTGGTGACCAGCAGGTACTGGCCCTGGGTGCTGAGCTGGCATGAGTCTGTGGCTGGCATCTTCGGGTCCCCTGAGCTCCTCGGTGTTGGTCCGGCGGACGTAGTACTAGGAGTGGCTTTGGTCTCCACCTCCTCAGGTGTCTGGGGTGTGCCTGGCCCATCAGGCCCCTGCGTAGATGGCGTAGGGCTTGGCTGTGTCGTGGGGGACGTGGCCTCTGCCCTGGGGGTTGGGCTGGGGTGAGGTGCTGGCACCGTGCTGGCAGTGGGCTCCTCGGCTTGTGCCTTGGTGGCGGTCACCGCAGTTGAGGACACCGAAGCCATGGAAGGGGTGTTGGCAGACTCCGCAGTCACGCTGGAGGGGGCAGGTGTGGAGCTACTTGTCTGAACCACGGGCCAGTCCTTGGCCGCCTGGACGGTGGGGCCTCGTGCTTGGGGGCCAGTGGGAGTTGCAGGCCTTGCTGTGGAGCTTGCGGGTGTGTGCTCGGAAGGGCGGCGCGCGCTCGTGGAACTGCTCACATTTGCTGTGGCAGCGGCAGCAGTCTGAGCGTGAGTGGCTGATGTTGCCGGTGTGGCTGTTCTTGGCAACGTGCTACTTGGCACTTGTGCAGGGGGTGTGCTGGGCAGCGGGAGCCCAGCGGCGGTAGTGGATGGCGTCTGCCATGGGGACGTGGGGACGGGCAGTGCAGATGTCAGGGGAGCGCTGGAGGCTGCACCGCCGGTCGTGCCTTGTGCAGTGGCTGGAGAGCCCGTGTCTGTCCTGACTGTTTCCTCTGTTACGATGTCAGTAGCTGCGAGATTGGCTGCCGAAGTCCCTTTGGTCAGCGTGACAGGAGAAGTTGTCACTGTGGTTATTTTCTCCAGTGTTTTATTATCACCTGTTTCCACAGATGTATCATTCTTGATGACTTTATTCCACATCGTGTTAGGGGCTAACGAGAGAAAGAGACACAATCATTTTCAAACGTGCACGCGTGGATGACTCAGAGACCCCTCCGCTCCGCCCCCGCGGGCTGGCTTTGCTGTGCCCGGTCTCCTCAGCCCAGTGGAGTTGGGGAGGTGATGTCCGTGTGAACACGTCGTCCTCCCTTCTCCCTGCCCGCACCTGGCGTGCAGCCTCAGCACTTTGACTTTAAAACTCCTTTGCCCTCCTGAACCCCCAGCCCATTGAAGTCTTAAGATTTGATCTAATTCCCAAAACATCAGAGTGGAAATCTCACATGACAGGTGTGAGTCACCATAGAAAAACCCCGTTAAACACACCCGGGTTTACAAAGCAGAAAAGTTGTTGCAGATATTCACATCATGAAAGAATGCTTGGCTTTGTGGGGGTATCCACTGCAGGAGTGCTTGGAGATGAACACTGCCTGGCACAGGGTAGGAGCACAGTTACGTATTTGACGTCTGAATGACTGAACTCGCCAGTGAAGATCATTTACAGGAGACACGAAATCACGCAGCCAAGCAAGTGAACTTTTCAGGGCTCAGCTGCCTGGTCCTGCTGGGGCTCCCTACCCACGCCAGCCCCAGAGAAGTTCGCTCTGGCAACCTTCCCAGCCCAGCCCCTGGCGCGGGCCGGGGCTCCTGACTCGCTGGCCTGCATTTGCAGACACTTCTCTCCTGGGCTCAGGGTGCTTTGTGGCCACTGTGGGCCTGTCCCGCAGTCACACGGCTTTCTCACTTACGTAGATCATCAGATGCCACTCGGCTTTCAGATAAGGACAAGGAGGAAATCCAAATGAGCATGAGGGCTGCCCACATCTTGCGGGTGAGCTGGGAGTGAGGCTGGTGGTCCCCAGGCCAGCAGCTCCTCAAGCTGTTAATGGTTCCCTTCTGCTTGGCTGAGGACTCTGTGGTCAAGAAAGGACACTGGTCAGAAGGCGTCTGGTCAGCAACACACAGCCTCGCCTGCAGCCAAGGGCTCAGCCCTGCACCTGCCGTGGAGGCTCTGCAGGGTCCAAGGTGCAAATCAAGCTGAGTGCTCAGACCAGGCCTTGGTGCCCAGGGAGAGCACAACACATGCCACCCGTGGTGGCAATAGCGACCTGCCCCGTGCCTTGAGACAGAGTCTCATTCTTCTGCCCGGGCTAGAGTGCCGTGGCGTCAGCCTAGCTCACAGCAACCTCACACTCCTGGGCTCAAGCGATTCTTCTGCCTCGATTTCACCATGAGTCTCAACCTGCAGAAGTTCCCACTCTCCCACCCCAAAGTTTAGTGTTTAAAAGAGGAGAGAGGGCCAAGACTTGGCCATGTTCATAGGGCTAAGGCCTTCTTATCACAAAGACTGACCAAGTCTTCCTCCTCAACTTGTCCCATGGTCTGCAGAGCACAAGTCAAGCCTAACGCGCCTGTGTGCACCCTGTGACAAATGGCCATGCCTTTCACGTGGAGACACTACTTAGCCATCCATCCATACATCCATCCATCTGTCCACTCATGTATGCATCCGTAAGTCCATCCATCCATTCATAAATCCAACCACTCATGCATCCTTAAATCAATCCATCCTTCAATATATCCATCCACCCATTCATCCATCCATCCACTCATCCATGCTTAAATCAATCAATCTATCCACCCATTCATCAATCCAACCATCTAATAGTTACTGAGTGCCTACTCATGTGCCAGGTAGCGCACTTAGGACAAAAAGATGAAAAACACACAACCCCTCCTCCAGGGCGCCTGCGGTCCAGTGGGAGGCACAGGACAGAGGTTGTTACAGGCTGGCACAAGTGCTGAGCAGGGTGTGACTCGGAGCCACGAAGCAAGGAGGCAACAGCATCTGGACAGGCCTTGAAGAGTGAGGTGGGCTGGTCTTCTGGGCAGAGATCCTGAGGGTGGCAGAGGACAGGGTGCCACAGGAGCCCAGAGGACACTGAACTCAGCCAGTGGTGGTGTTGGGCATGCCAGGGAAGGTTTCCTGCAAGTGTGACACCTGGGCCACATTCTGGGAGCTAGATGGGGACCCACCTGGTGTCGGGGACAAGTAGCTCGAGAGCAGCAGATGACCACAGCGGGGTCAGAGGCCGGGGTGGGGGCCAGTGGTGAGACAGGGATTAGGCTGGAGAGAGGCGGGAGTTCCTGGGAGGTCCCACAAGCCCCATGGAAGTCTGGATTTCACAGCAGGGGGACAAGAGCCCCTGCAGAGCCTAGACAAGGGTATGGCAAAAGCAGGAAGGTGCTTTTAGCAAGAGCAGTAGCAAGGGCGGCCGATGAGGGGCAGCAGGGGCCACGATCCAGGCACCTGACACAGAGGGTGTCACTGAATGAATGAATGGGTGAGTGAATGAGTGACTTCTCCACTTCAGAGACTGCGGCGGTCCCCACAGCTCTCCCACT